AGATTTTTTTATCTGTAAAAAGTATTTATATAAACAATAAACAACAAGTAATATATATATTTATATGTATTTTTGTGTAGTTGTGTCATTTATCCGTATTATCAGCTGCCCCTTGCGACACAATTAAAAATAAGCAAGTGGAGTGGGTTTATAATGTAGGTTTGTTTGAATTCTTTAATTCCCAGCCACCAGGGCGCGCCACTTTGGCGACACACTTTCTACAAGAGTAAGAGTCGTGTCTATATAAGCCTTGTTCTATGCCTAGTATCAAGAAATATGTTGGGGTGGGGAGACAGTAAGACTAGTAGAAGCTCATTCCAGTCTTGATCTATGGGTTCATTCGAAAATCGGCATGTATTAGTTGCACTCGTTGCAGCTCGACCTTAATACTTTCGGTTTATTTCGATTATAGTCCTCTCCGTCGCAAGCCGCACTTGATCTAGAAATAGTTTTTTCGTAATTTTCTTCACTGATTGAGTTTAAAGCTATTATTGTATTGTGAAGAGTTTGGATATCTGCAATTTTGTTGTAGTTGTGAATTTGTTCCTAATAGTTGCCGGGCATTAAGTGATTTCAAGTTTTACGATTATAATACTATCATGTTTATGCTGAAGGTGAGGTGATAACCCAACTGATCAATTGGACTGCAGAAATTAAACAAAATGCCATGTTGTTACTTATTTTTCCCATGCATAATAATTTATACGTGCACTTTGCGAGAAGGGAATTTTCTTTAAGTAACTGGCATATGTTTAAGGAAATATACATATAATGGTGATCGTGTCGTTTGAGTCCCTATGAATTTTTGTTTTTTACCTTTAAGAACACTTCAAATTAAGCACTCAACTAGGGCTCCGAATAATTCGAGTATTCGAATATTCGAAAAGCGAATAATTATGTGTAGTCATAACTCGAATAATTTTACTATTCGAATAAACCACTAAACGAATATTCGAATATCAGATTTTTAAAAATTCCGAGCCCTACTTTCAACAATTCCATAGCTCCACATGCAAAATTGCCGCTAGATGAATAATAATTGTGTTTTTTGCAAAGGTTTGAGCATCTTTCCTAACATCGCCAATTGATTGAGGTTCTCTAGCGCATCGATAGTCAAATGGCAGTGTATTTTTGTGTTAGCATGGTTGAAGGGATTTTTTAATAAAACTTACTAATAAAATATACAAAAAGTTAAAATTACAGGCAGGAGTCCAAGGAAACAAAACAAAAGTATTTTGTTCGGGAAATCGTCTTTTTGACATTCAAATCATCATCAACTTCTAAGTTTTTCACACGATTGCAATTTTCCGTGTTCCAGTTTTTATGGAAAAACGTTCGTTTTTGTTTGTTAAATGGTTTCAGGGAACACAAATTCAGGCAACCGCGATTTACTATTTTCGTCCGGTTTCAAATCGATCGAATCGTAGAAGCATCGAGCTCGCATGAGTTCGCTTTCTTCTAAATTTTTGGGGAAAAAACAACGGTAATTTTTCCAAATTTATGTAGGTACTTTTTTTAGACATATGCCTAGTTAATGTTTTTAAGAGTAGTGAGTTCGCTTTCTTCTAATTTTTTGGGGAAAAAACAACGGTAATTTTTCCAAATTTATGTAGGTACTTTTTTTAGACATGCCTAGTTAATGTTTTTAAGAGTAGCTCTCGCAACTATCTACACATAATTTTAGGCAATTCTGTTTAATGTGGCCTTGCGGCGACGGTTCAGCCACCATAACCGGATAACAATAATTTGGTTTTACCGAGAATTAAGCGGATATAATTTCACCTGGTTTTCAATTCGCCGGAATCGTGAAATTTATATTTAAAACAATCGTTATTTTAAGGTCAACCAGAGTCGCAGAATTTCAGGGAATTTTAAAAATACAAGTTATTTCAGGTATTTTTTGTTGTTGTCGAACTCAGACATCAGTTCTAATAATGTTATGAATGAACAAGATGATGTATGTTAGGGGTGGGGGGTAACTATGTTGATTTAAAATTTGCAAAACTTCCAACCTGGTAGAAACACCGGGTGTCCATCCGTTTAGGGTCTTTTTGAACGATTTTCCTTGTTCCAGACACATTTTTTGTGCGTGGTATGGACGAGGCCAGCCATGCGAGGTGGAGAGCATCTTCCAGAAAGTACGAATTCCCAGTTCAGTCGTCAACTTAACCGGAAGTCAACTCTGAACTGCAGTGGTGGAGGTCTAATTGATGTTTTCAATCGGCCTATTATGGGTATGGGACTGGTGAGAATAGTTTTACACGTACTAATTTAAACTCCACAGAGAAGCGACTAACATCCATTGAAAGTTTTTATTCGAGCATTTTCCCGATGTTATTTAATCTGTACGCTATAACTTTGGTTGCACGTCATCGTCGGTCGAGCGTTGTTGCCATACCCATCATAAATTATATATACGCTATACGGCACGGAAGTTTGCGGCTAAACCGTTTTAGTTTTAAAATGTATTATTTTATGAATTGTCCGACGCCTACCGAGCGAACATTTAAAAAATATTTTTGTAATGTACAGGGTGTGCCAACAGCTCTAAAGGTATCAAAGTAGCGTTTTTTTAAATGGAATGTCCTGTATGTTATTGCATTTTTGGATTCGCTGAACAAAATAAGTGTCTGTTTTAATAAGGTTTATGATACCTAAATCTTAAGGTTTTTAAATAATACGACATTAATCAAAATCTAATCTAATTTTCACGTATCAAATACTTCAGAAGTATTTAAGTTATGTAAGCGTAATTTATAGTGGAGTGTGACAAGATATACTATTTTATATCCCAATGATAATAAACTTCCCATGTTATACAGGGTGTCCACAAATTTAAACTAACCAAATAAGAACTTTAAGTGGCTCTAACCATTATTTGGTGTATTTTGTAAAAAGGCAAAAACTTAGTTATCAACATCCTAGCACCATTCGATAGGTAATTAAAAATTGCATTTCCTGGTAAGCTAAAAAATACGGGGTTGTATTAAATTAATCAAGTTATAGCCACTTAGAGTTCTTATTTGATTAGTTTAAATTTGTGGACACCCTGTATAAAATGGTAAGTTTATTATCATTGGGATGTAAAATATGATTTCTTGTTACACTGCACTACGAATTACGTTTACATAACATAAATAATTCTAAACTATTTGACACGTAAAAATAATATTAGATGTTGATAAAATTCCAATTATTTAAAAAACCTTTAGATTTAGACATTATAAATCTTATTAAAACAAACACTTATTTTGCTCAGAGAAACCAAAAATTCAATAATATAGAGGGTATTTCATTTAGAAAAACACAACTTTGATACTTTTAGGGCTTT